CATAGACATGAATAAGCAGTTCTTGTTTCTTTCCGGTCCTTCTGAACCCCAAGCTTCCTCCAGCTCTTATGCTGGTACTCAGCCTGTCTACTCGGACAATTTCTAAACCATCCACTCATACTACTGATGATCCTTGAAATAAATAAGAAGGTTATCGAGGCTCTAAGGTTTTCTTTTTAGGAGGGGATAAAAGAAATGATGGGGCTGAACCCAGTCCTTGTAAGACCAGGTGTCTGTGTCCCACAGTATCAGGAGAATGATGGGGCATTCTAGAAGTTGCTATGAAGACCACCCATGTTTTCTGTTCTCTTCTGGAGGTACCAACATACTTCAGAGCAACAAATAATGTTTAAAATGTCCATCTTTCCTAGAAACAGGTTAAATTGTGTGTGGCAGTAATTGCCAGCTCCTCATCAAACCTCTGGTTCCTTTTCTTCCCAGACACACAGCTAGACTACCCTTCCCAGACTCCCTTGCAATTAAATATAGCCATGTGGCTAGCTCTCACTAATAAAACGCGAGCAGAGGTGATGTGTGTCACCTCCTGGCCAAGACTTTACAGAAACAGGTGTGCCCATTCCACATACTTTCTTTCTGCCTGCTGAGTACAAGTGGCAAAGGTGGCAGCCAGTGGTGGACCCGTAAATGGGGGACAGGGTTCTTCAAAATTCTGTGTGGAAGAAAAGTGCCCACCCACCAGGAACACCCACATTGGACTGTGATGTGAGCAAAAAGCTCTATTGTGTTTGAGCCATTATACATTTGGAGACCATTTGGTACGGGAGCCGGGTCTACACTAACTAACTCAACCAATATATTATGTTTATGAGCATTTAATCACGTGAATGGCAGAATTCTAGACCTTCTGCCTGGAAAATACAAGAGAGACTAGTGGAAAGGGGAGTGGCAAGGAGTAATAATGTGAATAACCTCAAACATTTACTGCATATATGATATAGTATATTTAATTTCAGTTATGCCTCACAACTACTTTAAGAAATAGTACTGTTATTTTCTCCCTTGCTCGGATGTGGAAACTGCAGCAGAGATGCAGCACTCAGGAAGTGGAGAAGCCGTGATTCAAATCCATAGCCAAGCCCTGGGTGAGCATCCACTGCTGTGCACTAGGCACTTTATACAATTTCATCTTCACACCTTGTACACAGGCCTTATTGTCCCTATTTTAAAGAGGAGTAAAGCTGATATTCGACAAAAATAAATGATTTGTCCAAGGTTACACAACGAGAAAGAATCAGAGCCTAGATTCAGGCTAGCTAAGGTCTGAGTGGCTCCAAGGCTCATTCTAGGGTTCCCTCGTACCACTGAGGTCAGAATATAGGTAGAGGGAAAAGGTCATGCAGAATGAGCTTCCCTCTATTTATGGGCCCCAGATGTCTTGAGGTTGATCTGTTAGGTCTGTGACCATGTGACCACTGCAATTATGACTATTTGTCAGCTTTGGAGACATGGAGGTTTCTGTCAGATGGTGTTCACCAGATCCCCCAGCATATCATTGTGGTTATTTCTTTTCAATACTGATAACAAAGTGGTTAGGCCTGAAATAGGCCATCCTTTGCCACAGCCTTACTACATGGAAGGTACCATCAGCCAGGGTTGGATCAGTCATGTTCAGGTCCAAAGAAAGAACTGAAGTCAGGTGCATGAAAACTAATTATTTCAATGAATAAAGGGTTTTTGTATGGCAAGAGTTATAGTGGAGCCCAGTTCACAAATCTACCTCAGAAACTCTTTAAAGTCAAGGAGAGCAACCAAGAACCTTGTTTATATAAAGACTTCCTAATTCTCCAAGAAAACGTACTAAGGGAATGCTAGGGCTGATCAGGACACTGAAACTGACTTAGACAAGGATGGAAAGAAGGAAACGGGTATAACCCCTGGGTAGCAACGAAGAATGGGGAGGAGCCAATTCTGTCCCCATGTGTGGCTTTTTCACCTGCATGGCCCACCCTCCCATTACACCCCTCCCGGCCTCTACAAGGCTAGTCTCACAAGGGCTACTTAACATATAAAGGACGCCTTCAAGACACAGCCCCTTATCCCTTCTGACTTAATCTGTGGGATTTTCAACACGGCTAGAGTCTATATCTAGGGGAATAGTTTGTGCTGGAGGCTCCCTGTGGGACAAGTTGGTGGCATCATACAATCTCCCGACCTATGACATGAATCTGAAAGACCAAAACCATTTTGGTATCAGAGAGCCACAATCCCATATTCATTCATCCACTCAACAGACTTTTGTAATTGGGAGATAGCACTGAGGCCCCTGAAGGCGCTGGGGTTCCTCCTTATGCAGAGCCAGCTGGCCCACAGCAGAGACTGCAGAGGAACGGCAGGGGGCTGCCATGGTACCCAAGGGGGGAGCTCATCATGCTCTCAGGGTTACCCAGGACCAGGGTTGCCACAGTAGCAACCCAGGGTGGTCCCAGAGCCCTAGGAAAAGCAGGAGGAAGAGGTTCCCAGAAGATCACACTCTTCCACATATAGAATCAGGAGAATGGGAGGAGGAGCCCTACCACCCCACATTTCCTCTAGTCATGCCCATCCATCCTACAGATGCTATCCAGAGTGAGTCTTTTCTAAATTGATCAGGTCACTTTCAGTTGCTTTTGGGATTAAAATCAAACTCATTACTGTGGCCCACAGAACCTAGAAGGGGCCCTAAATACCCTAGTAACTCCAACTTATTCCACTGTGCCAGCCCTCCACACTCTCTGGAGCTCAAAGTCTGATTATTTTATAGCCTGTAAACTCCATGAGGACTAAGTTCACGTCTTTTCACTATTTTATACCAGCACTTAGCTTATTTGCCGAATATATTAATAGATGGGGTTCAATCAGGGTTGGTTGGTTGTTTGGTTGAATGACTGACTGAAGAGCCAATATTCCAGCAACGAAGTTAGGTGGGTGCCAAAGCAAATAATTTCTGTGATTGCAGCGCAAGCCCTTACTGCCCCACGGGTGGGATGGCATAGAGAGACAGGGCACAGTTTGGGCACAGTGTTAAAGGTTAACAGCAACAAAGGCTTGCGTCAAAGCCTTCTTAGCAGACATACTAACAAAAGCAAGTTTCACTGATTCAAATGGTCTTTAGAAAGGGGTGGGAAGTGAGCCAACAAATGAAAGCAAGAAATGAAATTTCACTGCTCATCTAGCCTTAAAATGACCTAGAGGAGCACCACCAATTTGGTGTTTCAGTCTCCTCCCTTCTGCAGTGATGGTTACAACCAAGGGTCAGAACATGAGGTAGGAGTCCTGAGGGAAACACCTCTGCCCGGCTGCCAGAGGGGTGCCAGGCAATCCAGCACGTCTAGAGAGTTTTCGTGAGTCAGCCTTGGTCAGGGCTCACTGTCAAGCAGCAAAGGGCCATAGCCCTAAGTGGAGGAGAACTTTATCTCATTTCTGATAGGACTGGATATGTGTCAGTTTTGATTTTGGTTCTTTCCCTACGACGGCAGGCTCTAGGACCTGGTTTCACTCAGGATGGATTGAATATGGCATAACCTGGAAGGAATAAGGAAAGGCTGAAAGCCAGATGAGTCACAGCTGGGGAGGATTAATTAAAGGCAACCCAGGTGCGCCAGTGTGAATAAGGAAGTATTTCCCAAATTATAGAGGGAAAAAAACAGCCCTGGATTTAAAAAGGTGGCAGTCATAAACTAACAGCACATGTGAATTGAGCCGATGTTGGTGATAAAACAGTGGTTTGACATAGGTTTACACCTTAAACAAATTCATGCAAACCCTTGTGTACAGCATTACTATCTTTTAATCACAGAACTTAAAAATTAAATGTGAGAGTGATGTTGTTTACAAGGAAGTAGGGTTTTGCTATATTTTCCAGCCCTTGTACAACATGGGAACATGCTGTCTGGACTTTGCTTGGATACGCAGCCTGACAGATGAACAACTGCTACTTAAAACACCTGCCGTGGAAGCCCCAGATATTACACGATAGATTGGAAGATTGGACACAGATTCGATGAGTTTTGCTCTCGACTAAGCTCACGCTGTCTACACAGGAGTAGGCAGTTTAATTTCAACACAGGATTTTCACATTTATCTTAAACTCCCACTGTCTCCTACCTACTAAATTCTGCTGTTTGAAAAAGAGTTTATTTTGAATGTTCCCACATTCGTAGAGTCAATCTCAATTACCCAGAGGTGAACAAGTAAGTTTCAACGCTTAAACATGGCAAGAAGTATATATATAAAACAGAATAAAAAACAGCTTATGGAGGGGTGGCAGTGGAAGAGGGAGAAAGATAGCTAATAAAAAAAAAATCAACATATTAGAAGTAGAAGAGGGAATAGTTTGAAATTACATAGTAACCTTTAGTTGCCAAATTTTGTCTGTTGAGACATGGGAGATCCTGAGAGTTCCACCTTGTGAGACCAGCTTGTTGCTGAAGCAGGAACAAAGCAGAATGCAGAGCTGTGAATTCCAATAACAGACCCTCGGCCTAGAGCAGTGGCTCTCAGCCCGGCTGCTCAGGAGAACCACGTGGGGAGCTTTTAAAACCACAGTACTCAAGCTCCATCCCCAGAGATTCAGATTTCATTTCTCTAGGAAAGGGCACCAGTGTTATTCAAAAGCTCCCCAGGTGATTCCACTGTGGGCTAAGATCGGGAAGCCCTAGACTATGGATGGAGGGCACAGGTGAGGAGGGTAAGGGGGAGAGAGAGCGCACACACAGCTGGGCATACATGCTCCGTTCAGCTCAGAAACTGGGGACAGTAAGAAACTGTAAGAACAGTTAAATTTTGCACTAAGCGATTTGTATAATGTTTAGCATTCAATGTGAAATTATGGTACTGATACCATTTTTATACTTCCACATGATGTCTCTAAATACTGGATGCAATTTAACTGCTAAGCTCACAATAAATCCATTTCATAATAACCACATTTCGTGTTATGCTCTTCTCCCCCTCACCCTGTTGAATGGAGAGGTAACCCCAGCACAATCACATTCGCTTACTTTAATTCCTTGTGATCCATAGCCGGCGGGTCCAGGAGGGCCAGGCAAGCCTTTCTGCCCAATATCGCCCTGTTGAAAGGTGGGGAGAAATTAAAGACAAAGTGTGACGAGATAGGGGAAGAAACAACATAGGCATTACTGCTCTCAGCTTCTTTCTGACTGAAGGTCTGGGTCTGATCAGGACCTTCACACTACCCATGAGCTACTTCCTATTTTACTTAAAGCAGCGTTTTCCAGGCCGGGCGCGGTGGCTCACGCCTGTAATCCTAGCTCTCTGGGAGGCCGAGGCGGGCAGATTGTTTGAGCTCAGGAGCTCGAGACCAGCCTGAGCAAGAGCGAGACCCCCATCTTACTAAAATTAGAAAGAAATTAATTGGACAACTAAAAATATATAGAAAAAATTAGCCGGGCATGGTGGCGCATGCCTGTAGTCCCAGCTACTCGGGAGGCTGAGGCAGGAGGATCACTTGAGCCCAGGAGTCTGAGGTTGCTGTGAGCGAGGCTGATGCCACGGCACTCACTGTAGCCAGGGCAACAGAGTGAGACTCCGCCTAAAAAAAAAAAAGCAGCATTTTCCCAAATATTTTTAAGCCACAGAATTCTTTGCAAACAAAATCTTAGAGGTAAGCAGAACTGCTTGGCCTAAGCAGAAGTGGAGGCCCGGGGGTCTCATCTGCTTAGGTTCCCCTCGCTACCCTACCACGCAACCCCTGGAACACCAGGGCCGCCCTGCGCCAGATCTGAAAATCACTGACACATGACTCCATGTAGGTTTTAACATGTTGCTCCATTTCAGTCTGAAGCACCAGTTGACTGGGGTTGCAGTTAAAGAATCATTAGATATCAATGTGAATTAGTATTACAATTTTTAAGAAAATATGTAGATGAAGCAATAATCACATGCAACGTTTTCCAATATGTGTTCATAAGCTGGCCCTATGTTGGAAAGACTTTACAGTGGAATAAGATTAAAAAATAGTATGTGCCTTCCCTTGAAGATCTTTAGTACACATTAATATAATATATTAAAGGCTCTAAGAAGTCCTACAATAATTAGTTTAATTTTGTTTATCCCGCAAGTTCCCAAATTAATATTGGATGGAAGAAGCTTTGAGAAGTGCTGGGTTAATATAAGTTACTGCATAAGTCAGTCTTTTTCTTTCCAGTATTGATTTTTTTCTGAATGTAAAAAAAAAATACTTGCCCATTGCAAAAAATTAAAATAAAAATTAAAAACAGAAATAAAGATGACAACATAAAAAAGAAAAATAGACCCATCTTTCCATCACCTATGCCCAAAATGGGCCAAAAGAAGGTCCCTCTCACCTTCTGTGGGGACAATCTAGACCCTTCACCAGGGCCCTGGAAGAGTGAACGGGGCACACAGGGCACAGTAGATACATTAGCAGGTGACTTGTTAAAAGGCCACCTGAGCACCTCTGGCCAAAGTAAAGATGTGCTTCTTGACTACGGCACATCCTCTAAGAAACCTGGAAATAGTTTGAGTGCTTTGCAACTACTCAAGAGAGACTGGCTTTCTGATTTCTTTTATAGAAGAGTAAATGGCTTTATAAACTTTAATGTTCTATTTTACTGAAAGTTTATATGATATGAAAAAATAAGACTTTCCATCAGTAATCGAGAAAAAATAGGCAAACACCAAAAGGAAAATGTACTATGAAGTTATTGTAGACTTCGTTGTCACTGATGATGTCTGACCCTCACACAGAGCACAGACCTGACGACTCACCTTTGGCCCTTGGGTTCCTATACCCCGAGGCCCAGAAGGACCCGGAGGGCCTCTAACCCCAGGCTCTCCCTGAAAAGACACAATGAATGACAAGTTACTGTTTTTTTTAAACGTTAGGTTGTATAATATTTCATATTAAAATATATTTTCAGAAATTATATTTTTAAATCAAAAACCCCTTGAATTTGACTAAGATATTAATTGAGCCCTTTTCTCCTAGATCACTTTCCTATCGCCACTTAATCTTCAAACCAACTGATCCAGGTCCATTTCAAGTCAATCAAGTTAATTAACTTCTTGGCCAACATTAATATATACTTTTTTCAGAACTCCCTTCTCTAGAATTTAGAAAGTAATTACCACTATCATGAATAGAGGGCTAAAAAGGCATGAATTAAAAAAGAACCATTAAGAGATATAACCACATCCTGAACTAGTTGCTTTCATTCTTTTTTGCAACGAATGTTACGCTATTTGAATTAGGGATTGGCTCTATGATATTTCTGCCACTAGAGCGAGTGGCACCACACAATAAATTCTACAAAGGCTTTTCAGTCTCTCCAAGGCATGACAGTCTCATAGCAGACAACTATTACCAGCAAATTGGTAGGACCTGATGAGGGAAGGTCAGGCCCTGTGGTTAGGCCTACTTGAGCTGCTAATGGTGAGAAGCAGCAGCGAAATAAAAATCATTTCATTAGCCACATTTTGTATGCCCAACACTGTGCTAGGCATATTCATATACATTATTGGATGTAATTTAGTATTTACAACAATCTTGCATAACAACGATGCCTGTTCACCTAACTTTTCTGAACCTCAGTAAATCCATCATATATATGGACAATAATATCTACATTTCATAGTGATAAGAATGAAGTGAGACAAAGCATATAATTGCTTCTACCACAATGTCTAGCACAGAATAGGCTCATGATAAACGTCAGCTTCCCACCACTTGCTTTATTAAAGAGGAAACTAAAGTTTGCCCAAGACCATATAGCTATTAATATACAGGGCTAAGAGGATGTAGAAAAGCAGGAACCCTCATAATTGCTGTGTAGCCATTTGGAAAACAGTTTGGCAGTTTCTTTAAAAGGTCAACATAAATTTACCGCATGATCCAGCAATTTCACTCGTAGGTATACACCTAAGGAAAATGAAAACGTATGTCCACACAAAGACCTGCATATGAATGCCTGTAGCAGCATTATTCATAATGGCTCAAAACTGGAAACAACCTAACTGCCCATCAACTAGTGAATAGACAGACAAAAATGTGGTAAATTCAGCAATAAAAAGAAACACACTATGGATACATGCTATGTCATGGATAAACCTCAAAAACGTTATTCTCAATGAAAAACATCAGACATATTGTATGATTCTACTCATAGGAAATGTCCAGGAAATCTATAGAAACAGAAAGTAGATCAGTGGTTGCCAAGGACTAAGGACAGGAAAATGGATTAATTGTAAATGGGTGTGAGGAAACTTAGTGGGGGATAAAAATATTCTAATACTGATTTATCATGATGGCTGTACAGCTTGGTAAATTCACTTAAAAAATCATTGAATTGTATATTTGAAAGGAGTGAATTCTATGATGTGTAAAATATGAGTCAATAAAGTTATAAAGAAAAAAGAAAGAACCAGAGTCAGGCTTGAACCTACTTCTCCCAAGACCTTTGCCTTAGGTCCTGTTTTGCCCATGTCCTGTTACGAGCTAAACAGCTTCTAGCTTTCAACAGTGCGGAAATCATGGACTAAAAGAAATGTCGAAATTGTTTATCTATAGAAACAGCCCATCTTTTAATTTACTTTCCACTTAGGAACTCTAAAATACTTCTAGATAAAACAAGGCTTTAAAAGAACGGGGGAAACTTTTAAACTACACTTTATTACTGACTTAATTCTTTTAATCTCTACTTTCATAGTTATGTATTTCTTTTTCTTACAGGCCACTTTTATGATTCTGGTCTCCTGTCTCCATCCCTTCCATTGGTACTTAACTGCTTTTGAGCCTACAGGTGCTAACTGTCTCTTAACACCTCTCTCCCACTGACTCCCGTCTCTGAGTGTCCCCAAGTTCCTCCCTGCTTGAAGGATTACTCCAACAGCAAGAGCTCCAAGCAGAGAACACGGTGCCCTGTACCACGTACATTTCTACAGTCTCTTCTTTCTTGAGTACCTCTGAAGTGCCTTTCAAGGGAGTATCTGTACATCCACTGCCTGAGTGCTTCTGACTACACCTGACTGATTCACACACTGCTTCTTCGTCAAAGGGACGTGTCTTTTCTCTTCTGAACATTTTGACATCCCCCAACAAGACAAAATATAGGTAAACATAGTTAAATATATTTTACCCAGAATCTCTGAATGTTTTGTCAAAAATAATTGTCTTTTTTGCCTGGTCACCCTGACCCACCCCAGATTCTATGGCTTCCTCTCTTGTGCTTCTGTCCACCTGTACCTTGCCATGATGAAGTGAAGAGATTAGAAAGGATATGGCCAGACACCCTCTGCCTCCTGCTGTAATGCAGTGGGGAATACACAGCCCCACCTGTGAATATTCTGGCTATGAAAAACTAACCTGGATTTGAACAGGTCTCCAGATCTACCAATTTACAATAATAGACAGAAGATGGAGAAACATATTAAACACCACCATAAGGACACCATCAGCAAAATTCTCAAGTACAAAGAACACACCCACAAAGGAAGTGCAAGGACAAAACAAGGGAGGAGTAAATTTTGACTAACAGAGATTTAAGAGCTATCTCAATCAAATACAATGTGTGCACATGCTTTGGATCCCAATTCAAACAAACCAATTGTAACAAATGTATGAGACAAGCTGGAAAATGTGCCAGAAATTTGCTATATTAAAGACATGTCAAATTTTTTAGGTTTGATCATGGCACTGCCATTAATTTTTAAAAAGAGTTCTTACATTTGAGAGAAATAATAAAGATTTATAAGCGTAATGTTTGCAGATTGCTTCAGAATAATACAGTGAGGGAAAGAATGGGGAACAGATAAAACAAATTAACATGTTGATAATTGATAAGGAAATGTGATGAGTACATGGGAGTTGATTTTACTAGTCTTTCTACTTTTGTGTATGCTTAATAATTTTCATAATAAAATGTAATACCACTTTAAAAATCCATAAACAATGTCCCTTTCAAAATCTCATCAGTGAGCATGAGGAAGTGTTGCTGTAATGGTCACCCTTAATAACAAGAATACACGATTTAAAAGATTTTTTAACCGGGCAATGGGAAGGAGCACACAGGTTGATTCAACATCATGAATAGAATTTATGTGTGTTGCATGTACTCTTAGCATGTTCCAAAGGTGACATAATTATTTAAACTTAAGGATATGGAGGGAAGGCAGGATTCTTTTTTATAAAGTAGTATTTCTTTAAGAAAGAATTTAACACTTTAATTTTAATTCATGATTTTTCATTTAATTCATGATATTTTTCTGGTGAGGATTTTAGATAAAACCCCTTAATTAGTTTTAATCATATTAACACACACACACACAGGGAAAGCCAGTGGAGAAAACAGGTAGAGTCATAGTCTACCTCAGGCCAGCCTCCTCAACACTCAGAATTGCTATTTATTTTCTCCTTCATATTCTCTCTTACTCAGTTCCCTCTAACTCTCATCACTTAGGAATGTCTGAAGGCTAACTGCAATAGGACAGCAGACCCTGTGGGTACCTTATTGTCCTTTCTGTCCTGGAACCTCAGCCATGAGTTTTCAGGGTATGATCCCATGTCATCCGTGATACTTCAGTGTTTACCTTGAACAAGTTTCCCATCCTTATCTGTGTAATTGTTGACATATAGCTACGTTTCATCTATCAGTATTTTGTATCTTTCAATCTATGGGGAAATGATATGATATGTACCTATGCTTTTATAAATCTGATAGATTTTAAATCCAGTATTAAGATTTCGTAGATGTTTAGATTGGTCTATAACAGGGTATGTGGGTTATTCCTCAGATATATGTAGCATGCTTTCAACAGATGGGAATATTAGGCACTTAGCTGTGAATCCACAGATATAGTGTCTCTCCACTATGGTGGAATCTTTGAAAATGGATCGTGTCTTTTGTTGTTCCATGGGTCATGTGTCCATGTTAGGCTGCTAGACTTGTGAATGTGAGTGAGAGAATTGTGGGCAGGTCTCACTTTGCCACTTGACAACACTGGTTCTGCCACAATGCAGCGTCATCAATACCTAAGAAGTGCATTGACCTGTGACATTTTCAGATATGCAGTTTATTGACAACGGATAGAGTGACATTCACAAATATAGGAAATTACAACAGGTTCTTGTGTAGCTGGACTTAGCCTCCCACGCAACATCTGAGGGTTGTTGGAGCCTGCAGAGGGAGCCCTTGCATTAGGAGATAATGAGCAACCTGCGAGCAAATTTTAGAGCTGCTTCTGGTAACAACAATTTCATAGGACCATAGCCTAAGCCCTACGCCTCCCCCCGCATCCACTCCCTCAAAAGAAGAATAACTGTTTAGATTGCCCACCACTTCCCCTTGGCCCACAAAAAGGATTCTAGATGAAAGATACTCCTTTCATTTTCACAGGAAATGGCCAAATGTAAGCTTGTCTGCAGTATTTGTGTATGTGAACTTAACAAATGATTCAGTGAAGGTTTTACCCAGACTATAATCTCACAGAGTGGTTAATTTTAACTCCTTTAAAAACAGACTTAATCTTATGATGATTCTAATAGCCATACATTAAAGCTTTCACATTTTAAAAGAAAGAAAAAAAAAAGAGCAGAACAAACACATTCGCATTCATTCATTTTCTCACTATGAATCTTTGCTTTGGTTAATATTAACACTATAATAATAAGTAAAAATCAACATTTATTAAGTTTATTAGGTGGCAGATACTTTTAATTCATTATCTTACCTGAGCCTATCAACATCAACTTACTCCATTTAACAGATAACGGAATTAAGGCTAGAAAGGACATATGACTTGCCAAAAACCATGCAGCCTGGAGCCATTCAAACCCAGATGTG